CCGAACTCACACGACTCGCGCAGCACTGGCTGCTGGAGGGGGCTCCATCGGCTGGACAGGTTGCGGAGCGCGTGGTGATTGACCGTCTCCTCCGAGCCCTTCCCCGATCCCACCGACAGGCCATGAGGATGAGGAACCCAACCACCACTTCCGAGCTGGTGGAGGCTGTCGAGCTGGTGGATGCGGCCCAACACCGGGATGCTGGAGAGCGAGCGCCGCCATTTCCCCGGAGGGTGGTCCAGGAGCGGCGCGCGCCGAAGGGCACCCCGCGACCAGTAGGCAGGCCAGCGGCTCCCTCTCCGCGGGATGAGCCCATGCCAACGGAAGTCCTCGCACGGACCTGGCTGGCCGGCTGCATTGTGCACCACGACCTGCCGGTTGGAGCTCCAGAGGTGGAGGTGAAAGTGAATGGTCAGTGCGGTCACTCTGGTCCAGTCGCAGATTCTCGTCCCCGAACAGAATATAAAGCCTTCCTCCCCATAACCTGTGTCCACGGGGATACACGACAAGTTCCCGCTCGCAGGGTGACCATTTCGGTCGCTCCCGGCGCCTGGCCGGTGGAAGTCGGGGTCATGAAGGATCTTCCCGTCCCCGTGCTGATCGGGAGAGACTGGCCAGGGTTTGACCGCCTGCTGGCCACGGCTATGCAGCCTACCAGCCCAAGAGGGGGCCGCCGAAGAAGGAGGTCCACGACAGGACCTTGTCAGCGGCCCGTGCTTCTGGCCTCGGATAGCGGGAGAGAAGGTGAGTCCCCCTCCCAAAATCCTAATCTCTTCTATGATGTGTTCCAACAGGTGACGGGAGGGGGCTCATTTGGGAAGGAACAGCGGGAGGACGACAGGCTGAAGCATGGATGGACCCAGGTCCGCGTCATCGAAGGCAAGGAGGTTCAGCTTGGTCCCCACCCTCTCCCGCATTTCGTCGTGCAAAATGGCCTGCTGTACTGTGTCGCGCAGCGAAGGGGGCAGGAAAAATGATTGTTGGCTGTGCCACGCACCAAAACGGAGAATGTACTGGAGCTGCCTCACTCCCATCCCTTGGCAGGGCATCTCGGAGCCGGGAACACCATCCAGCTGATCCGCGACCGCTTCCACTGGCCGGGCTTGGAGGCCGAAGTGAAGCGGTTCTGCCAAGCCTGCCCGACCTGCCAAGTGACGTCACCCAGGACGCCTCCCCCCAGCCCGCTGATACTGCTGCCCATCATCGAGGTGCCCTTCGAGCGCATCGGGATGGACTTTGTGGGGCCGTTACCCAAGTCTGCCCGGGGACATTAACACATCCTGGTGATCGTCGATTATGCCACCCGGTACCCTGAGGCAGTGCCCCTCCGAAAAGACACCGCCAAAGCCATTGCCCATGAACTCTTCCTGTTCTCCAGCCGAGTCGGCATCCCAGCGGAGATCCTGACCGGTCAGGGTACCCCCTTCATGTCCCGGCTAATGGCTGACCTCTGCCGGCTGCTGTGGGTGAAGCAGTTGAGGACTACGGTCTACCATCCCCAGACCGACGGACTGGTCGAACGCTTCAATCAACCGCCCAAGCAGATGTTGACACGGGTGGTCGCGGAGGATAAACGCGACTGGGACCTGATGCTCCCCATGTCCTTTTTGGGATCCGCGAAGTCCCGCAGGCCTTAACTGGCTTCACCCCCTTCGAGCTCCTCTTTGGCCGGCAACCCCGCGGCCTCCTGGATGTGGTGAAGGAAGCCTGGGAGCAGCAGCCGGCAGCCCATCGCTCTGTCATCGAGCATGTAAAACAGATGAGGGAAAGGATCGACCGGGTCATGCCATTAGTCCGGGAACACCTGACGAAGGCGCAGCAGGCCCAACAGCGCCACTATAACCGGGCAGCCCAGCCACGGGAGTTCCAGCCCGGAGACCGAGTCATGGTCCTAGTCCCCAATGCGGCCTGCAAACTCCTGGCCACCTGGCAGGGTCCCTATACGGTGCTGGAGAAGATTGGGCGGGTGACGTACCAGGTGCGTCAGCCAGGAAGGAGGAGAGCTGAGCAGCTCTACCACATTAACCTCCTGAAGAAGTGGATGGGGACTAGAGACCAGCTCACGGCCCTCGCCATCTCTGATCCCGTGGTTGTTGACGTCAACCCCCACCTCTCGGCTGCCCAGAAGAGGGAGCTGCAGCACCTGGTCGGTCAGTTCTCTGATGTGTTCTCCTCTCTTCCCGGGCAAACCAACACTCTGTAGCACGACATCCGGACGCCGCCAGGGGTCGTCGTCAGGCAACGGCCCTACCGCGTCCCTGAGGCTTGTCGGCGAGCTATTGAGGAGGAAATTCAACAGATGCTGAAGTTGGGGGTGATAGAACCATCACGCAGCCCATGGGCTAGCCCCATCGTGATGGTCCCGAAACCGGACGGCACCCTCCGTTTCTGCAACGACTTCCGTCGCCTCAATGAGGAATCCGAGTTCGACGGATACCCCATGCCTCGGGTGGATGAACTGTTGGACCGGCTGGGAAGGGCCCGGTATATCTCTACGTTGGACCTCACCAAAGGCTACTGGGAGGTACCCCTCTCTGAAAATGGCAAACCTAAGACTGCTTTCTCTACCCCTAGTGGCCACTGGCAGTACCGGACCCTTCCTTTTGGCCTCCACGGGGCTCCCGCCATGTTCCAGCGGATGATGGACATCCTGTTGCGGCCCCATCAGGCCTACACCGCGGCCTATCTGGACGACATCGTGATCCACTCCGAGGCATGGGAAGACCACCTGGACTGGTTACGGAGGGTGCTCTCGGAGCTCCGGAGGGCTGGACTCACCGCCAACCCTCGCAAATGCCACCTTGCCCTCTCCGAGGCGAAGTACCTGGGTTTCCAGGTGGGACGGGGTCTCATTCAGCCGCAGGAGAAGAAGGTGGAGGCAGTACGCTCCGCTCCGAGACCCGAGACCAAGACCCAGGTACGAGACTTTCTAGGGTTGGTGGGGTATTATCGCTGCTTCATCCCCAACTTCTCCTCCTTAGCCGCCTCCCTGACAGACTTGACCAGGAAGGGGCAGCCGGAGAAGGTTCAGTGGACACCAGCAGCGGAGGAGGCCTTTCAGAGGGTGAAGGGGGCCCTCATCTTGGAGCCCGTCCTCCGAGCCCCGGACTTTAGCTGCCCCTTCCTGCTGCAGACGGATGCCTCCGACACAGGACTGGGAGCCGTCCTGTCACAGATCCAGGAGGGTGAGGAGCATTCGATCATCTACATCAGCAGGAAGCTGATCCCGGCTGAGAGGAACTATGCCGCGGTGGAGAAGGAGGCCCTAGCTGTCAAGTGGGCAGTCCTGGAGCTGCGGTACTACCTCCTGGGCCAGAAGTTCTCCCTGGTCACGGACCACGCACCCCTTCAGTGGATGGCCCGCGCCAAGGATACCAATGCCAGGGTGACCCGATGGTTCCTCGTGCTCCAGGACTTCCACTTTGAGGTACGTCATCGGGCTGGAGCCGCGAACGCGGATGGCCTCTCTCGGATCTGGGCAGCTCTTCTCACTAGCACCCATCACCCCAATAAATCCACCCTCTGGGGTATTGATTGAGATTACTTGTCGTGTGATTCTTCACCCCGTTACACTACCTTGTAGATATCAATTGTTGTCTTCAAAAGTGTGTATTCAAGTATGCTGCTGTTTTGCTCCATTAACTGATTCATCAAATTTGAGGAGATTTGAGCTGCTTCTCCACTTGTTTGGTTGCTCTCGATTTCTGCTTGCTCTTTTATGCCAGATGATAAATATTTAAATTTCTTCTCTGTTAATTTTGAAATTTTTAACTGGAAAACCTGAATTATTTATATGCAACTTCTCTGCCTTTGTTTGAATGCCTGAAGAAATCTTTACAGCATCTCTGTATTGAAAACACATCAAAATGCTGACAACTAAAATAATAGCTACAGCACTGAAGATTTATGAGCTTTTAACTTTGATTTTCTTAATGTTTTAACAGTGAAGTGATTGTTCTCAGTGATACTTACTGAACTGATCTGGACTTTTTAATCACAGGCAGCAACTTCTGAAGAACTTTCATATTTTCAGGATTATTCTGTTCTTCAACAAATTGATCAAGACGAAACTCATTCAGTTCCTGTTCTGATGTCAACAACACAAAAACTACAGCTGACCACTGAGATGAAGAGAGTTTGGCTTCCTTTATTCTTCCAGATTTCAGATACTGTTGTATTTCCTCCACTAGTGAACGATCACCCAGTTCATTCAGACAGTGGAAAAGATTGATGGATTTCTCTGGAGAGTCAATGGTCCTGATCTTCTTCTTGATGAAATCAACTGATTTCTCATTGCTGTCAGAGCTGCTTCTTTTCAGCGTCATTATTCGTTGTAGGAGAATCTGATGAGACTCCACTGACAAACCCAGAAGGAACCGCAGGAAAAGATCCAGATGTCCATTTTTACTCTGTAGAGCCTCATCCACAGCTCTCTGATGCAGCTCAGATAATGAAACATGTTCTGATGAATTGAGTTGAAACCAGTCCTTCACTTTAGACCACAAACTCTGTTTCGTGATTTGGTCAAACACATTTCTGTTGTGGTTTGTACAGGAGAGGTGCACATATAGAGCTGCTAGATGTTCCTGAATGCTCAGATGAACAAAGCAGAAGACTTTCCCCTGATACAAGCCAAACTCCTCTCTGAAGATCTGAGTGCACAATCCTGAGTACACTGATGCTTCTGTCACATCAATGCCACACTCTCTCAGGTCTTCCTCATAGAAGATCAGGTTGCCTTTCACAAGCTGCTGAAAAGCCACTTTCCCCAGTTTGAGGATCATGTCTTCATCTGTCACCTTCTTCTCATAGTCCTTCTCACGTTTGATGTTGGTCTGAAGGATCAGGAAGTGTGTGTACATTTGAGTGAGAGTCTTGGGAATCTCTCCACTCTCTGCTGGACTCAACATCTTCTCGAGAACAGCGGCTGAGATCCAGCAGAACACTGGGATGTGGCACATGATGTAGAGGCTCCTTGATGACTTCAGGTGTGAGATGATTGTATTGGCCAGAGCCTGATCACTGATTCTCTTCCTGAAGTATTCCTCCTTCTGTGGCTCATTGAAGCCTCGTACCTCTGTCACTCGATGGATGCACTCAGAGGGGATGAGATCAGCTGCTGCTGGTCTGGAGGTGATCCAGATGAGAGCAGAGGGAAGCAGATTCCCCACAATGAGGTTCATCAGCAGCACGTCCACTGAGGCTGATTTAGATATATTACACAGTTTCACTTTGCTCTTAAATTCCAGAGACAGACGACACTCATCCAGACCATCAAAGATGAACAACACTTTATATTCATCACTGGATATTTCCATTTCTTTAGTTTCAGGGAAAAAGACATGAAGAAAATCTGAAAGACTGAGTGTTTTGTCCTTCATCAGGTTGATTTCTCTGAAAGGAAGTGGAAATATGAGCTGGACGTCCTGATTCTCTTTCCCTTCAGCCCAGTCCAGGATGAACTTCTGCACAGAGACTGTTTTTCCAATGCCAGCGACTCCCTTTGTCAGCACAGTTCTGATGGCTTTGTCTTGTCCAGGTAAAGCTCTAAAGATGTCACTGCATTTGATGGCTGTGTCCTCTGTTGCTGCTCTCCTGGATTGTGTCTCAATCTGTCTCACCTCATGCTCATTACTGATCTCTCCACTCTCACTCTCTGTGATGTAGAGCTCTGTGTAGATCTCATTCAGGAGTGTTGGGTTTCCCTGCGTCGCTGTTCCCTCATACAGACGCTCAAACTTCTTCATCAGATTTGATCTAGACATGTTGAGGGCTTCATGGCTGGAAAATTAAAATACTACATTATTACATGAGTTACAGAGGTACATGTACAGAGCAAAATGTCTTTTTTGTTTTCTGTGTTATGAGTCACTGAACATATCATAGGGTTTATGAAATGTGTCAGTTATTAATGATGTATTTGAGTAATGTGTGATGATGCACTGCATTAAAAACTCCCACAGTCTACCTCACACGAGGATACGCGCTGTCTTGTGGTTGATTCATAGACTGGTCATATTTCTCACAGACGGGTTTTGTTTCTGATCTGGGTGGCAGGATTGACCTTGAATCAAGAATCAAACACTCTGACATTGGTGACATTTTTCTCATTACCTTAATAACTATTGTGACTTTATTAAAAATGCACTTGCTCAAGGTCACAACTGTAAAAAATAAACACCATTTAAATAAATGTAAATAATTAAATAATTCTACTCTGTTCCCTATATCTGCTCGTTGTCATTAGATTTACTGCATTTCCTAGCCAGACTTCTCCTCATATTTATTTATTATAGTGCTGTGTAATTACGACAGTTTAATTTATAATATTCTACTATAATCAAATCTTTTACAAAAATATAATACTTGAGGTTGAACCGTGTGTCATCTCTCTTAAAATTAACTGGAGGATCCAAAGAAGCGTCACTCTTCATAGACACACAGCTGGGCTCTGGTTCTGATCTCTTCTGATGAACTGAACTATAACAGAGAGAGATTAAAGGTACACTAAGTACTTTCATAGGCATGTCTCTCTGTGTGAGCAAATGTTACAATATCAGATGAAAAACTGAAATAATCACATGATAAAACACCATAACAAATATTTCAATTATGTTTGTTAATGAAATATTGTACCTGAGATTGTGTGTATGATCTATAGACTCGTCACTTTTCATAAACACACAGCTGGGCTCTGGTTCTGATCTCTTCTGATGAACTGAACTATAACAGAGAGAGATTAAAGGTACACTAAGTACTTTCATAGACATGTCTCTCTGTGTGAGCAAATGTTACAATATCAGATGAAAAACTGAAATAATCACATGATAAAACACCATAACAAATATTTCAATTATGTTTGTTAATGAAATATTGTACCTGAGATTGTGTGTATGATCTATAGACTCGTCACTTTTCATAAACACACAGCTGGGCTCTGGTTCTGATCTCTTCTGATGAACTGAACTATAACAAAGAATCCTTTGAATTACTGTATTTATATAAAATTTGATTAAAGGGGTAATTTCAATGCGATTTCAATTGTTCCTTTCTCTTTGGAGTGTTACAAGCTCTTGGTGCATAAAGAAGATCTGTAAAGTTGCAAAGACTAAAGTCTCAAATCCAAAGAGATATTCTTTATAAAAGTTCAGAGTCAGCCACACCCCCTAAAACGGCTCGTTCTAACACGCCCCCACATGTCTACCTCACTATGTGGGAAGATTTGCATAACACCACCCAAATGTTCACGCAAAGAAAGAAGGCGTAACTTTTATTCTCGCTGTAGTATTGTTGTTGCCGCCGCCATGTCGTGAAAACGCTGTGCTCGTCGTTGTGAAAGCGAAACTACTTTGTTTGGTCTTCCGAAAGAGGACGATATCCGCTTCGTCATGCCTAGAGCTGATCTGTGCTGGTCGCTGAGGAAATATATCAACTTTCACCATGGACGAAGTGGAGTTCAGCCCGGGGTCATCACATGTGGTTGCCGCTCATTCGTCGGACTTTGGACCACTGGGCAACAGTCCAGTTCTTCTTCTCCTTAGCCCAGGTAAGACGCCTCTGACGTTGTTTGTGGTTCAGGAGTGGCTTAACAAGAGGAATATGACAACTGTAGCCAAATTCCTTGACACGTCTGTGTGTGGTCTTGATGCCTTGACCCCAGCCTCAGTCCATTCCTTGTGAAGTTCACTCAAATTCTTGAATCGATTTTGCTTGACAATCCTCATAAGGCTGCGGTTCTCTCGGTTGGTTGTGCATCTTTTTCTTCCACACTTTTTCCTTCCACTCAACTTTCTGTTAACATGCTTGGATACAGCACTCTGTGATCAGCCAGCTTCTTTGGCAATGAATGTTTGTGGCTTACCCTCCTTGTGAAGGGTGTCAATGATTGTCTTCTGGACAACTGTCAGATCAGCAGTCTTCCCCATGATTGTGTATTGTGCATTCTAATTTATTGAGATGCACCTGTATATATGACACACAGCTTTGTCTCTGATCTCTCCTGCTGAACAGATTTAATGATGACATTCATTTTAATAAAGGACCTTTAAAAAAACACTTAATAAGGAGGCTCTATTGTCTTATTGTTTTAAATAAAAATATAATTTTTAACTTGTCAAAAAAAAAAAAGTTGGCGGAAGGCCATAGAAATGAAAGTGATTTAATATCGTGTGTTTTCAAAGTACCTGCATCCTGCAGAAAGCTCTTGATCTCGGGCTGTTCGTGTGTCTTCCATGATGCAGCTGAACAGACAGAAGAGAGAGATCTCCAACACTTACTGAAAAACCTTCATGTAAAGAAGTTAATCGATCCGAGTGAGATGTTCTGATACGGTCGCGAGAGCATGTAAACACTGAACCGAAACTGAAAGGACTGCGAGTGCGCGATGACGTAGAAAGAGCGTAATGACGTATGACGCAGTGTCTGTGAAGCGGAGCAGAGCATATGACCCCTTTAAAATTGTGATCTTTTCATTTTTACTATGTTGATACAGAAACCATAAACTAAAGTTTATCTTATAGTTATAGTCTTTCATAGACTGTCTGCTATAATAACTAATATGAATACTATAATAACATGAATACCTAATAAAAAACAAAAACACAATATACAGGTGCATCTCAATAAATTAGAATGTCATGGAACCGAGTGAGATGTTCTGATACGGTCGCGAGAGCATGTAAACACTGAACCGAAACTGAAAGGACTGCGAGTGCGCGATGACGTAGAAAGAGCGTAATGACGTATGACGCAGTGTCTGTGAAGCGGAGCAGAACAACAACCAGCAGTCCTTGCTTCAGATTCATCCACAAACTCTGGGTTTTACTGCGAGACAATATAGCAGCGGGTTATTTGCTCACTGTCGCCAAATTATGAGCAGAAATGTATAAATATGAATGCTGCTGTTCAGACCAGATACAGAAGCAGTGCTGGAGAATGGTTATTATGGGTGAACAGCGGGGAACTCTCTATATTGCTGCAGTGTGGGCATGTAAGAAATCAAGCCCGAGGTGAAGCTTGTGGTATAAACGCGCACATCAAGCCATCACTTTATTCAGCGTTCATGTGAACAGCTACACTACATTCAGACTCAATAAGCTGTGCTGCTGTCTAGAACACAAATGCTCAGATTAACCTCAGACAACAAGCAGCGACGAGACACTTCTTTTGCTCTCTAATGTCAGATTTCCTCACTTTTATCACTGTACCTTACCACAATAACCCAGATTTTACGCTTCTTAAGCACCAAATAACAATGAAGAAGTAAGCTAATAGAGAAAACTGAGAAAACTGTGGCTTGGAATAAACTCAAGGAACTAGTAAAGACAAAACTAAAACCTACAGTAAACTAAGAACTCTTGAAAAAGCTGAGCAAACTCAAGGAAAAACACTAAACAGGCAAGAATACTCTGCAGCAGAAGCAGAGCAAATTTATTGGAATCAATATTTCTGAAAATTCTGATACAATGCGACTAAATGTTGTATAAGCAGCAAAGTTGTTTTGAAACAATAGCATCCTAAACTGTCCTTCACTAGCTCAGAATAGAAACTACAAATCTAATTCTACTACATATAGATATCAGTAAATAGTAGTAATATTAATAATGATAACTTTTCATTAATGAACACAGTAGCAGACAGTAAACGTGTTCTTGTTGATTGGAACTGAAACTTCATTTTGATGTGTTTGTTATTTTGTTTATTAGCATTTTGTTTTTACTGATTTTAGCATAATTTTACTGATGGTTTCATTGTTTTTATTTCAGTTCTAGTTTTTATTTATTTCCAGTAATTTCAGTGTTTCAACTTAAACTTAATTCAGTGTTATTTTAGTATCACTAGATACTATTACAGTTGTTATTAATATTTTAAATCAGTTTTTATTTTAAATATTTCTGTTTTCATTTTAATTTTACTAAAAAGTTTATTAATTTTGTTTCGTGTTTTGGTCATTTCTATTCTATTATATATTTTTTTATTAATTTTAATTCAGTTTTCAGTACATAAAGTTAAGCTAAATTAAAATGAGAAAGGTAAACGTGTTCTTGTTGATTGGAACTGAAACTTCATTTTGATGTGTTTGTCGTTTTTTTTTTTATTAGCATTTTGTTTTTACTGATTTTAGCATAATTTTACTGATGGTTTCATTGTTTTTATTTCAGTTCTAGTTTTTATTTATTTCCAGTAATTTCAGTGTTTCAACTTAAACTTAATTCAGTGTTATTTTAGTATCACTAGATACTATTACAGTTGTTATTAATATTTTAAATCAGTTTTTATTTTAAATATTTCTGTTTTCATTTTAATTTTACTAAAAAGTTTATTAATTTTGTTTTGTGTTTTGGTCATTTCTATTCTATTATATATTTTTTTATTAATTTTAATTCAGTTTTCAGTACATAAAGTTAAGCTAAATTAAAATGAGAAATGCTGCAATCAGCAACTACCCGAAATAAAAGTGTTTTTAAATAATTTGTTTTATTTCAGTAAGCATTTATTTCAAGTACTGAAAACATTTTTCTCATTTTAACTTATTTAGTTAATTGCTAAGGCAATATTTATAATGCTCTTCGAAGGTAAAAAAAAAAAAAAAGACAGAATTTTACAGAAGTTATTTCAGTTTTTCTCCTGAAGAACAAACATGAAGATCAGCTTTAAACATCATTTACTGCATCAGTTCTGGCTTCAACGCAAGCTGTACTCACAAAATATTAACCAAAATCATTTTATTCTCCCTTTTTGTTCCACAAACAACTATTTTACTGCAAACACTGAGCACATCAAGTTATGAGTCTATTTTCAAAAGTGTGCATTTTAATATTTATTGCATTATTATAAGATTTAATTTAAGATTAAGTGCTCCATCATAGAATTCTACACAGTATTCTAGTATTGTGTTGCAAAAGAGCACATGAATGATTGTTTTTGATGTAACTACAGCTGTTGTGAATCTTGTATTACCTGAAATAAAATACATTATAAATAATAGATTTTAAACTCAAACTTATTTAAGTCAGTTGCCAAGGCAACATTTAAAAAAATTTAATTTAGTTTAATGAAGCACTAAAATTACTAACTGGAAATGAAATAAATTAAAAATGAACTGAATGTAAAAAAAAAAAAGCTGAAATGATTAAAAAAAAAGCTAATTCAAAATACTAATAAAAACTACAAGTGTCTGTAGATAAGACTAAAATAATATTTTCCAGCATTGAATCGTGCCAAACACAAAAGCTATCCGTTTCTTTGATGACTCTGTGAATGAAGGAGTTCAGCTGGCTGTTATTATCAATGCACTTTCCCTAAAAGACACAGATCTGGAAAGACGCAGCAGCTGTTCAGGAGGCATTAGTCTCTGGACTCTTTCTGCAGTCTGTGATCTTCACTGCTATCAGAGCTGACGTCCATCTGTTTCACACACTGAGCCACCATCAAACACTGCTCCAGATGCTGCAGAACTGAAAACAGTGTCACATATGCTGCTTACAATCTTCTGGAGCATTCACACCATTTACAAACACAACATTAGCTTAATTTACTGCTGGACTGCATGATTTGGGATGAATGGGACGTCCTGACAAATGAGTCTGTCAGCTTATAACAGGCCTCACTCAGTGTCATTAGATTTGATTGTTCCCTTTCAGTCAGTCATGTTCGACGTTACGTCAGTTGTGACTGACGAATTGGGATCTTGCCCAAGAGCC